CAGTTCCCTACATATCTAACTGAAATCTTTCTGCTTGGAAATTTAGCAAGATGTCTTCTTTCTGCCTACTGTGGGCATGAAAAGCAACTGACCATAATGTCCTTTTTTAACAGTTATTTAGGTATCCAAAGATTTATCCTGTTCCCTTTCCTCTTATTTTTAGACAAAAGAAATCTTTATTTTCAATTTTTCTTTTCTAAATCCTTCTTTCCTTTCTGCAGGTCCCTCCCACATCCCAAGCATGGATGAGCATAACGCTGCTCTGTCCCAAGCTAGGGACAGGGTCACACAAGCTTACAAACTCACATGGACTATGATCAAGGCCGAACACATTTCTGGAAAGCCCATGTGGCAGAGAGTAGTGGCACCATTTTCCACCCTGTTGCACCATTAGAAAGTCCTGGGAGTCTACAGGCACTGAGGCAGCTGACAGTGTGTCAGAGCAAATGGCCCCATTCCCAGGGAGCGCTAATGTGTGCAGTGGTGTAAGGGTACAGGCTAAGAGCAGCCTGTCTGAATTTGCAATTATGGCCACACTGATGGCTAGAGAAAGCAGAACAGATGCTGCTAATTGATTTTCAAGAGTTCAAAAGTCAAACGCTGATAATTATGGGAGCAGCAGCAGGCAAACATTTTATCTGCTGAGGGGAGTGAAGGTTGATAGGGGCAGAGGATTAGCACATGCAGTAGGGAGAATGAATATTTCAATATAAGTTTCCCATCATACAAGATGGTTTGTAGTGGCACCCTGACCAAACCCGTCACCTGGGGCTCTGCTTGTACAGACAGAAAGAGGAGTTAATGGAGCATGCATAGTAAGAGATGGAGGGAGCTTGTGAATCAAAGGGCTCTGTGGGATGACACAAGAAGTTGGTGTCATAAGCCTCACAGAAAGGTGCTCTGAATCCCCAGTGACACACCTAAGAGAAGAGGCAGAGAAGCATCAGCAAAAGGTAGAGGCTGAGCACAACCTACTGATAGAAGTGATGCAAAACTAACTAGAAATCAAAGTAGAGAAAGAATCCCAGAGGGGGCCTCAGAGACCATAACATTTATGTCATCCCCAAGTTTGCTGGGGGGAAGTGAAGAAGCAGATTGGTCGAGGTGAGAGCTAATGGGACAGGACTGCCGTGCACTGACTCAGTAGAGAAGAAGGATGTGAACAAGAGCTGGAGATAGCAGCACTTACTAGCTCTCATGAAGGGATCATGAACCCAGAAATAAGTCCTCAACATATGTGGGATTATAGGAGAGCAGAGGAGAAAGGCAAGTAGTGAAGAAAAATCCTGGGTGAAAACTTCCCACACAAAACATCACAACCCACCGACACAAAATCTAGTATAGTACCAAGACTCTGGCTCGCTCTGTAAGACCTCTGGCCCAAATTCATCACTGCATTGGGGATGGCCCTTCATGGGGCATAAGGGCAGACCCCCTTCACCACCTCAATTCTGCATACCTGCACCTCTATGATAAATACAGCAGCGGCATCTAGGCACCCAAAGCACATCTAGGCTGCCTGGCCAGTGAAGCAAAGAGGTCTCCTAACTAACTGATTAAGAAATAGTGAGGAAAGGCATGGAACCTACCGCCCCAAAGGAGCAGAGAAGTGAATGAAAGGCAGCACATTTGCTTATCACAAGGAATCGTTACTCATGGTTAAAACAGCAGAAGAGCTCAGGTTACTGCCCCTTTGCAGAATATGGTCTCTCTACTTGAGAAATTCTTTCATGATTGTCAGCCCCAGAAGATTTCACCTTGTCTGAAGGACCTGTGAGGGGACTTATCATCATCAGAGTCTGGGGTCAGCTGTGGTTCTTCTGGAAAAGGAATTCCTGTTCTGAAATAACAGGTGAGGTTTTGAAGATATTTATTCCCAAATTGGGATGAAAAATCAAAATAGCAAAAGATTTCACAGACCTGAAATCCTGAAACAGTTCAGTCACTGTCTGCATCTTTGCTGCTCAGAAAATGGAAGACTTCACACCTGGTTTAAAACGTATCATTATGTATCTGTACTCCATGACAGGTACTTCTCTATTTGCCATCTTTCAAGAATCAACTGCATCCAGCTGTACAGAGCCGCAAATTTTGTTACCAAATTCAGAGGAGACTAATAAAAACAATCAGAAGACTAGAAAACATGACCTAACAGGAGAGACTGGACAAATTCTTGTTTAATCTACAGCAGAGATTACTGGGAGACAACATGATAGAAGCCTTCGAACCCACATAGGGAAGATAAGAAGAGGAAGAAAAGAAACAATTCTCTATGTCCATCAGGGAGACGCCAAGTATTAATAGGCTTAAACTGCAACCAGGGAAATCTAGGTTAGACGTCAGAAAAACCTAGCAGGGTAAGGAGAAAGAAACCCTGGAAGAGATTGACTCAGGATTTCATGGGGCTTCTAGCACTGAAGGTCTTTCAGAACAGGTGACACAAACATCTATCAGGAATAATTTAGTCTAGTTGAACCCTCCCTTGGGCACGGGGAGGTATTAATGACCTCTTGATGTTCCTTCTATGCACAGCATCTGATCATGGATAAAAGTGTGCAGTAATGTAGGTAAAGACTGAGCTATAGTGAATGCACACAACTGGACCTAATCACTGTTTCCCATGCAGCCTTTCATCTCTTGACTCCTGCTGCCTGAGTGTTTGCCAAAAAGTTTCCAGGACAAAGCATCTTCATCATTTATACAAAATTAATGAGAATTTGGACAATCTTACACTGTAAAGCAATGAACTTATAAAGGTATTGGGATTATGTGCTAATAATATATGAATAATTTCTGGCTTGTATTGTGGCATTGCCTGGGAGCTGTTGTTAAGGGCCAGCACTCTGTTTTGCCTGACTCTCTGAAAACATGGAACAAAACTATGATCTTTGCCACAATGATCTCTTTTTTCGCACTTATATTAATGTTTGCATTTCTGCTGAATGGAAAAAAAATTAGGAAAAAGAGCATGAGGTTTCAGGCATGAAAGGTTTTTGTCTGTGATCAGAACATCTTGGAGATGACTTCTGTGTTTTCTAGGAAGAACCGTCCAGCATAAATTCAGCCTGCTCAGAGTTGGATTAAAATAATCTGATCTTCTCACTGAGTGAGACACCTACTTCAAGATAAAGCATTTGTGTCTGTTGTGCTTTTCTTACCACCGTTATTCATCAGAGCCTCATTTCAGTCCAGCCCTCAGTCCAGCCCCAACTCCTACTAAATGAAGAATTGGTTTGGGTTAACGGATGCCAAGTAGTCCCCATGGATAGTAAAGCTCAGGCAGGGCCCAAGTCTAACCCCATCACTCCAGATCACCAGGATCCCTTCTATTAATTGTTTGGTTCATCTGAGAGACCAAGGATACACTCTCAGAGACCGAACAATCCCTCTTACCACTCATGGAAGCCACCAAGCCCTCACTAAGGGTGCAACAGGGTAATGCATGTGACAGGCAAGATAAAAACAGGACTGTATTTAGCTGTGCCTCCCCAGAAACTGCAAAGCATTCCAACAACAGATTCCCCACAGCAAGCCCTGCTAATAAACCCTAGCAGGATTCATGCTGCTATTGCCTCATTTTCGTGCTCTGACAATGGAGTTTTCTCCTGTGAGAACAAATCTCGTGCCAGCTAGGAACAAATCCTCCTGGACTTTGCCTGGAAGGCTTTAGTGAAGTTGACTTATGGACAGAGCCCGACATGAGGTCTCTGCAGCCTGAGCTTTGCAGGCCTTACCCCTGTGCAATATCCACACAGTGTGGCTCCAACTATGTCCAGGAGTTGTCCACACATGCTGATGCCATGCCATACGTTTCCTCACACTCCTGACCCACTGAGACCTCCTCTAACTCTGCCAGACGACACACTCTCATCTGGTCCGCATAGTGCCAAGACCATGAGGTAGACAGATCCTTCTGGAAGCCAAGCACAAGCTGGGGCCTTTCATCTTCTTCCCAAACTCCGGCAACTGCTGGGAGACCTTAGTGCCTGCTGGGCACTAATGCAATGGTTCTTCTGCCTCCTTCAAAAGTTGTTCCTCTGGCCCTCTTCTGAACACACTTCTCATGACAGCTCCCTATTTCATTCTCGTTTCCCCATTAATTTCTTCCTTGCTTTTACCATGTAGACCACTTGAAAGTCCATGCAGAGAACAAGCAGCCAAGGAGAGAAGACTTTCTGTGCCTGGTGGGACAAAGGGGCAATTTTTCTAAGCCATATACATGATCATATCCAGACCAAGTTCTGCTTCATATCTGTCAGTGTTCTGCTGAATTCTCAGTGCATTTGCTCTAACTTCTAACCCCTATCACTTTTTTATATTTCATTTTCCCAGCCCTCAAACTACCCCCTCTGCTTCAACTGAAACCTTTCAGTAGAGCTTGTTCTGAGCCTGGACCACTGACATTTATGTGGGAGGTGAAACAAACCAAAATTTCACACTCAGAAATCCGCACCATTTCTAAAATGGTGCTTTGGGTTACATGCAAAATATTCCAAAATATGCAAATCTGGATCTTTGAACAACTCGATATGATCTCACGTTCACATCCTACTTAATGCACTGTCCCATTGCAAATGACACTGGCCAGATATATCAAGCACAGTTAACACTGGCGTATAAGTGTGGCTGTAGCTCAATCATAGCTGTTTAGCATACAGAACTTCACTGCCTCTAAGCCATACAGAGAAATATTTTCTGTCTCTGACATTCAAGCTCATGGTACAGAGGAGGTCTCTCCTCTGAAAGGCTGAAAAACTTATGTTCAGAGGTTACAGAAGGAAGCTGATGAATTTTTTATGCATGCTAATGGAAGGATGTAATGGCATCCTGCATGGAAAAGACAGCAGCCTGGGTATTGGAGATACCAGTGGTCCAGGATGCAAGAAGCAGATTGCCAGCCCTTAACAAGAACTCCAGAAAAGGTGGAGGGTATTATTCATCTGGAGCCTTCTTCCATCCTCTTCCCTGACACAGTTTGAGAATTACCAAACATTTCCTACCCTCTCCCACTTCCTCTCCTTGGTCAAAAGGATGATGACCAGCTTGGGATGCATCTGGTATCCGTCCTCACTGAACGACAAATTCCTGCCTTCAAAGGTGACATTGATCAGGTACCTGTAGGAAAGAAAAAAGAGAAAGGAGAACATTAATGCTTAGAACCAAACTCAAAACAAGACCTTGCCTCCCTCCTGCAGCATACATCAGGAGAGTAGGAGCACAGTGCAAACGCTGGAAAATCTAAGAGGAAGACAGTCAGAAAACCAGGACAATTACTTCAGGAACTGGGACAATCAGGCAAGGCAAGGCAAGGCAAGGCAAGGCAAGACAAGGCACCTGCCCCCATTTTGTGACTGTGATAGGGAAGTGATGTATTATGTTGGTTCTCAAGGAATTCCTGAAAGCACGTCTAAGAGTCACACACACACGCGCGCACACATGCACACGTGCCCACAGTCTCTCCTCTTACCTCAAAGGTCAGAGGAATCCATAGCAAACACCTGTGTAAACACACTCCACAGCCTACACTTTGCTCACTCTCCAAAGGAGATTTCACAGGCCATTTGAGGACAGTGATGGCCTACAGGTGAAAGAGTGGAGACTCCTTCAGAGCAGAAGGAACAGCACACCTGCAAGAAGCTCTATCCCTATCAGAGCCAGAACACCTCATGGGGCCCAAAGTGATCCTATGAAGAAGCTTAGGAATAGGGACAGGATGCTGTGCTGAGGCAGCCCAGTGAAAGTTCTCTTTCCTAGGGACAGTCATGCCTTACACCCAGTAGGATCAAATAAAGAGTGATCAGTCCTGCAGCCAACATTAACGATTCCCTTTGTCTGGAAAGGCCCCTTCATTTCTGTGCAATGTACTCCCCTTTAGGGCATCTCATGTCAGCTGTACAAATGGACTATTAAACAGTCCAGGCTTCAATCTCATTTATCCTAAAGCCTCTTTACTGAGCTCTGGCAATAGGGAAGACCTTTAGGTGAACTGAGATTACAGCTACACTGATTTCAAGGCCTTGCTGCATCGTAAGAGCATGTTAAAGTGGTGTTGCTGTAAATAAAAATTGGGGCTATTGTTTCCTTAACTGTCAGACCATCCAGAAAGACACTGTGGGGAAGAGGAGGAGGCAAATACACATTTCACAGTTCAGTGGTTTATATGACATCTCCGTGGCACCCTGACAGTCTCCCCTGTTCACATATTTCACTTCAATTCACAATCCTGTTGCATGAAGTAGATTTTACCTTTATAAACCTGCTCTGACACCAGTGGCATCACATCACTGTGAGAGGCAGAGGTGACCAAGCTGCCTGCAGGGCTAGCCCCAGGACTCTTCCCTCCCCTACTTTGCACAGTTCTATAAATTGCACAAGCAACATTTCTATTACAAACATGAGAGGTTCTACTCTACTACACTATGACATCAGGAAACATTTCCTAATATTCAGCTTCAATTTGTCCCTTCTGAACTCAATTTGAACCAATTTCAAGAAAATAAAAAAGAGGAAAAAGTCTTTTTTTTTCAATGGGTTTCAATCTGCATGCAGAGACCTCCCTGCTAATCTAATGAAAGCATTAGTATCAGGGAAACTTCTTCAAACAAATAAAAAAGCAGGTCATGATTTCAGCTTCTTCCTTTTTCAAATGTTTTGTTTTAACTCCATTAATCAACCAAACTCATTCACTAATTCCCCAATGCCAAGTGCAATCAGCAATTATGTTTATTTCTAAAGGAAATTCCACACTTGCTCCATGTTGTGACCTTCAAGGGACGTGTACAGCTTTGGAAACACAGCCATAAGGGAGCCCAGCATGAAATATTTGCAACAGGATGGTATTCAAAGGCAGACTACTGGTTATTTTCCAAAAAACAGAGCCATTCAGCACCCAAACACTGAGACTTACCCAAAACATCTGCCACGTGGAAAATCTTAGCCATACAATTGTTTGTAATGGTGTAAAACATCCCATCTCAGGACTTCACATGCTCTTTTTCTGGCATTTCTTTCCCAGCTGCGTGCATTGCTCTGGTACTGAGGAATGCCAGAGACCATCGCCAGGCATGTGCACCCTACAAGACCTAGTTAGGGCTCTGGTGGTGGGAAGGATCTTCCAGTGGACCAAGATTACAACTACACTCACTTCATGACTTCTCTGCACTGGCCATCAAAGTAAAGACAAAGAAAGGCTCCAAGAAGAAGAGAATGCCATTAGCCTGACGGGAGCTGCAGCTTTATGTCAGTAATGAGTAAACAGTTTTCAGTGCTCTTTCCCTTTACATCCAAGAATGATTCCATTATGGGAATCTCCTTTGCACAGCCTGACGAAGAAGAGTTCACAGAAATCAACAATAGATATGAGACAAGAGGGTGTCATTTCTGTTCATTTTCCATCAGAAAGATTAGAATTGCTAATAATAATCAAGGAGGGATCATCAACAACTCCAATCTTTGGAGCTATCTTGAGATTTACCCTTAAAGATGCATGAAAATCCCTTGCTTTCCACCTTAACGACTGAAATTAGTGTACAAATTTGACAAAATAACTCTTCAGAGGGTTTTCTCTCAGACCCATTAGCAACATGTTTCCAAAAGTTTGCAGGGGGAGTGCAGGAGAAGTGGCTTCCCCCCAGCTTTCCCTGTACACCTATACCTTTTTGATCCCACCACCCAACATAGGGATACAGGCAGAAAGCAAGCACACAGGGAGCTGCGGGGTTTGCTCGGTTGTACTGAGCCTATGTGACAAAGCACCAGGGCTTGAAGGACTCCCTGGCAGGCCAAGTCAGCAACACGCTGCAAGGCAGCCACACTCAAGTGGCTCTGCTCTCCATCATTACTGCAGCGATAGTCATCCCCTTCGGCAGCACTGCTGCCCTCGAACACCAGCACTACTGCTGCCTGCTCTGGCCAGGGGAATTTGTTTCCTCCCTACAGCTTATACATGCTCCAGTCCCTAAACAGGCTACCAGGGCGGCTGATAGACTCCATGACATGTCTGAACTGGGCCACCAGCTGTAAATGGGGGCACAGTGTGAGGGCAGTAGGCTGTGCATGCAGGTGAGGCAAACCAGGATGAAACTGTGCCTGTAAAGGTCTTAATCCATGAGTCCCTGGATGTTTGGGATTCCAAGCTGGAGAGACATAAAGAAAGATAACAGAGGCATGATGGGGGCAGACACAGATAATATAATATGCTAGAAACACCTTTCTGCAAACGATTTTGCTTATGTGGGAATTTCTGGAGCTGCTTGATGCAAGGACAGAAGGGTTGAGCCCCTCATCAGCCCCATGGAGATGCAGCAGACACAATGCCCAAACTCAAAAGGGTGGGAGTAAAACATACTCAACACTGTGGAAAGAGGCCTGACATTGTGAGCCCCGTGGTATGGACAAGCAGGCAGGGACAAAGAAAGAAGTGACACGCCCTTGGGCACAAAGAAAATCAAACTTGGGGAAGCCGAGTCCCCATCCTGTGCTCTGAGGTAACATCACCCCTCCTAGATGTAAGGCTGCCAGCCCTGCAAGTTAATGGAGAGTGTTTTGAAGTCTGGTTGGCATAGGAAATAGAGCATTAAAACCACATCAGATGGCCAATTTAGGACCAGCAGAGAGATGATGACATTTTAAATGGTTTCAGCCAGGGATGGAGAAAGCCTGAAGAGGAAAATGTGGCAGGTGCAGGGGGCTCGAGGGAACACACAAAGGGTGCTAACTGAATTTTTCTCTGCCCCAGAGACAGATGTGAAGGAGACGCATTTGAAACCAGCTCTAACCACTCCTAATTCTGCCTCCAGTGCCTTGCTGGGAATCAGCTCTTCCTGGTTCAGTCCGTCACACTCCCGGCCTCGCACGTGTGCACCACACACACACACACTCTCCCCTGTGTCCTGTCAGTGCTTGTTATGCTTCAATGAGACAAGCAGCCTGTCTGAAATGGCGTGATTATCCTAACATCAACTTCTTCCCTGAATAAGGCAGACCATATAAGTAAAACAGCCTCTCCATGGTCAGCACTGGGGAGCCATCTCAGCAGCCCAGTGCACAAGGGAAAAACAGAGTTTAAGTGGAGGGTGGAGAAAAGACAAGCTGTGAGATACCTCTGACAGAGTAGATTTTCAGGGTAAAAAGCAGATGGAGTGTGAAGCAGGATAAAGGGATGGGGATGCAGACCACTATCATGCTGTTTGGAAACTCACTGTAATGCGAAACACCGAGGCAAATCATAAGAGCAGTGAGACGAAGGCAGTGAAAGGCCTCTACCCCACAGAAATAGCATTTTTTCCCCCTAGAGACAGCATTAAAAACCCACTAGCCAGAGGTATCAGGAAAAGGCATAGCTGCCTTCCCACATCCACTTCATGCCCAGGAAAGAGCAAAAAAAAGGCACATTACTTTATTTCAGTACAAGTGCCTGCAGGTCCAAACCATGTTCCCTCACTCAGCACCAGCAAGACCTACCCAGTCTGGCCTGATACAAACAGCCTGAGCAGAGTACATCTGTCCAGCCCTGCAGCAGGTCCTTCCCAACCCCTCACACCTGCTCCTGCACAAAGACAGACAGAAAGATGGGTGGACTCAAAGGACAGGGAAAAGGGAGATTAGAACCAATATAGCTATCTACAAATGGGAATTCTGACTTCAAATGGCAAGTGATTGACAGATAAGATTTAACCAGCAGTAGCTCTGCTGCTAATACCTTCTGCTCTCATCTGAGAGACTGAAATAGTGTAACTTTTTAACAAGAAAACTGCAACCGAACCCTTCAACTTCTGATTTAAACCTCCATTCTCCAAATCCATGGAAAGTTTAAAAAAATATAGATAATATCTCTCCATACCCTTCCTCAAAAATTCCATGACTGCCTCTGCCTCAGAGGACAGCCAACTCTTGCTCAACAGCCATCCAGAGCCAGCTGCACGTGCATGAGGTCTTTTGAGTTAAGACAGTCTCTGCAGGATACTAAAAACCAATTGCTCAATCCAAAAAAAGGCAAGAACGGGCTCTGCCTGGTTTTCAATCAAATTTTGCCATGCCTTGTACTGACCCTGGCTGAGCCTTTCTGAGGTTCTCCCATTGCTCACTGCCCTGCACTGTCCCTCCCGCTGCTGTGC